ACAGCAATGTTAAGTGAAAGGTGAAGTCACACATCAGTTACAATGAGGTTTCAACTCAACCCATACCAAGGCTTAACCAAGCTCATAACAATACTGTTGCTGGTATTAGTAATACAACAGCCACAGTTAACATCAGGTTGAACAATAGCTACACTATCTTCATTACAAAAAAAGAACAATCTTAAAATAAAAATGTGACATGTAGATGACCTTAATATGATTCCTTTTCATGCTTTTTAATTCTTTTTAAAAAAAAAAGCCTTTCAGTTTCAATTTCTTCAAATTACATATTATTTTCAGAAAGTTAGGCTTGAAATTAAAAGTAGTTTCAAGTAAAAACCTATCAGGTGGTTTATTAAATCAGCTAAAAGGATTGATCAACAGGGGAACAATAAGAACAACCCGCTCTGAGAAAATTGGTTAATTATTAACCTTAAGACTTCCAAGAAAGAAGCTGCAATAACGTTCAAAGAAAGTTAATAACTCACAGTACCTAGAAGAGGAAAAGTATCGATTTTGTGGCTAGCTTGATTGTTGTTTTGTGGATTTTAAAAGAGGCCAGCATGAATAAGCTAAAGGTAAAGAAGATGTCTCTAAAAAAGGTTGAAGACACAATGGCTCTTCAGTGGGCAAGAGTTGCAAATCGTGGGGAAGAGAAGAGGAGTGTTGATAAAATCAAAATTATCCAGAGGGCTGCAGCTCTCCGCTGTGCTGATGTGGATAGGGAGAAGGCAGCTCTTAAGAAGTTTTTGGAGAAACTTAAAAAGTCCACAGGACACATGAAGGAAGACAGTCACCAAGCAAACAGACTAAGAGACAAAGGTCATCCCAAGTGAAGCATGCTTCATTGATTATTCAACAAGACAAATCTCTGTAGGTGAGACTTAACCACTTGCTTTCATTCCATATATACCCTGGCACTTGGCCACAGCATAAAAACAGACCTTCGGTTTGTAGAGAACACAACTACATGACTGCTCTAAATTAAAAAGACAGGACTTATTATTATGAGTCAAAAAGCATGACAGAATTTTGCCTTGATAATTGACACCTTGGAGTCTGGACCCTGGATAAAAAAGCACAAATAACTGTTTTGGAACATCACGGAACATAACTAATAAGAAAATGCCAAGTTACAGTGTGGCAACAATCTGAAGTGAGAGAAAAATCTTTTAATCTCTGCTGACCTCATCACTGGGGCTTCCAAGATTCACAGAACAGTGAAGAGTGGTTTCTGAAAGTGCGACTTCAGGAGGACAGTTGTTTCTTCCTCTAGTGAAAAATCACTGGACCCTAAAATGAGATGATTGCTGTAGCTGAATTTATTAGCAGAAATATTTTATACTTCAAAAAGTTTTATTTGCTTTCATCAATTTTCTCTTTTCTAGTTCCAGGCAAATATTAGAAATTCAGCCATAAAAAATAAGTACAATACATGTGAAAATGTAGCCTCAGAACTACAGTTAAAATACATAACTTATCCATTCATGCCAATAGGCGAAGAGTCGATGTTATTCATTTGTATGCTGCAAGACATTATAAAGCAAGCTAATGATCAAATAATGTTAAGCTGCTTTTTCTAAATAAACTTTTATCTCTTGATTATCGCTATGCCTATCTGTTTTATATTCAGTATTATTAAAATAGGAGTTATGATCTCAGTTTATTTTAATATTTTAAATTATAATTTACAGCTATATTGGAATAGCTTTTGTATGGCAATAAGTAGAGCTGGTTGAAATATGCCAAACAAAATGTTTCTCTGAAAAAAATTATCTTTTTGAAAACAACTTTATCTTGAAAAATTGTCAACATTGTTGAAATTTTTTCAATTTGTGAAAAATGTTGTGCCTTTAAAAAAAAGTTCTGTCCAAAAAGTGACCCCAAAATCTTATCAAAACTCAGTTCTGATAAAGAATTTGAACAACAATTTCAATAATGTGAGGGAAATAAGTGAAGGAACCATTTCAATAATGCCAATACTTTTGATTGGCAGGGGAGTGGAATTAAGTGACAAAATCCTCAAAAGATTTTCAAGAAAAACAAACAAAAAATCAATATAGAACCCTTCAAAAGGAAAGCAACTTTTACATTTCAATTTATTTTGCAAAACTACTTTTTGTTTGTACCAGTTCTAGTAACAATATTTGTATAACAATCACTCTTCTCTGACATAATCCTACAGGCCTCAGCATCAGGGCTGATCCCCACGCTCCAAGCTCTAGGATCCTGCTAGACATGGACCTACTACATGGACCTACTACTCTTCTCTCATTCCTACCTTCAGTGGATTCTGAGGGTCTCCATCTTTCTTTCCCTATTATCATAAATTAATAGCAGTAGTAGTAGTAGTATTGTAGTACCTATGAGCCTTAGTCATAGACCAGGACCGGACTAAACACAGAACAAACAAAAACAGTCCTTCCCCTAGGAGCTTACAACCTAAACAGATCATCGTTGAATGGGGAACTCTTCATAGTCACTGCTTGACAAATATACAGTAAAATACTGAGTCACCAAAAATTGGTAAAGGGGCTTTTTATTCATATAGTAGGAACTCTAACTCCCTTTATGTTGGTGAAACCTCTCCCCTCCCTTAGTCATCAAGAATTCATAGTGTATTAACATTTCATGTCTCTTCTTCAACTCTCCATGACTGCAGTACAAATGTTCTGGCTTCACAGTTAATATGTAACGCACAGTTAATGTACCATGAGTTTATGGACCATTGAACACTTCACTTATAATTCACAATTACTGATTGACAACAGCAAGAACAATCAGGTAAGGAATAAAAAGGACATTTATGTACCAAATTAAATCTAGTTAGCTAAGGTGAGACATGTGTCTGTTCCAATTAGATATGATGAAATGAAAGAGAGCCATACCAGTTATAAAAATAAGATATTTATGGAGTATTATCCAGTAATCCTGATTTTCTAGCTTCCACTAAGTCTCCTTAAAGGTGCTATAATGTAATCATGGATTAAAATTCATCCCTGTGCCCTAGCCCAGCACAAGCCTATGGACTAGGTTAGTCCCACTCTGCTTTGAAAGCTTTAGTGGGACTTATGTAGGGCTTCAGGAGCTATTTAATAAGGGGCAATCTCTAGGCCGTACCACCTGTATAGAATTTAATAGATTTCTACAAAAATTGTTACCAGAAAAGGAAAAGAGTATTTATGTGCAAAAAGAAAAGGCACCAGATGATACAATTTAACAAGCCCGTTACAAAATCATCACAGCAAGAGGGTCAAGGGAAAACATGAGGAAAATAAGTGAAGGAACAAGATAAGAAGCAACAGAAGTATTGTCTGATAATAAAGGCTCCCTAATAAGCTAGCATACAACAAATTTATTTATGGAGTACACTTTATGTTCAATTATTCTTACTTCATGAACACTGCTATTGAAAATATACCACAACAGAATAGGCAGTAGTCTAAGATAAAACCATGTAAAATTAGTAAGCATTCACCATACATGAACACATGATATGCTAAAGGTTGCAAGAACATTTTCAGGAACTATATAATGTAATATTAAAGAGAGAAAGAAAATGCTAATACTTTCACATGAACTGTTATCATGGTTAACAGTCCTTGTACTACAGTAGCCCTCAGAGGTCGCAAACGTTAGGGTCTCAGTGTGCTAGGCACTGTACAAACAGCAAGAGACAGCCCTTGTGCTTGAGAGCTTACAGTGTAAAACAGACAAATTTGAATTTTCACACAACCTGTTTGCAGGGTTTGATTGGTTGCCTTAGGTATTTCAGGTTTGATCAACATTTACTTAATAATGACACGTTGTGCATGTACCTCAGATAGTGAATTCCTTCAGTTCTCAAGTGAACATACACAACTACAGCCAACTGCTCAGCTTCTTTCTCCCTTTATTTGGGATGATGAATGCCTTTACCAGCATCTCCTCAGTCTGTCTTTAATTAGATGGAAACCCTGAAGAGTAAAGAAAATAACGATGCTAGGGTAATCTTGAAGAAACACTCTCACTGCACACACACTGATGTGCGCTGGCTGACTTCACCCCCAAGATAGGCTGCATTTCAGAGCAGTTCTGGATAGTCTGTAAAGTACATAGGGATCTTTCTCAAGAGAAGATGCTTTCCAATAGTTAAAATATTTTTCAGCAATGGCTGCCAATACAAACTTCAAGCTGTCCAAAGTATAGTGGGTTGGGAAATTTTTATTTTCCAGTGAAAAGTTTCAATGAAAAAAAAAAAAAATTACCAGTAGGGACTGACCTACTAAAGCCCTGCAACTCCTTTTATCTGAGCCTGCTGGGCTCTGATTGGCTGCTTTTGTGCAGCCTTTCTAGGCAGGCCTGGAGGACCCACTTTTGCTGCACTTTTCCTGGGGCAGGGTGTAGTAAGACTGCAGCAGGGGGCTATGAAGGCCTCTTATGTCCCGTCATACAAGTCTTCTTCTATAGATGTCTTGTTCTCATAACTTGACTTCAAAAGGATTTCCATGCAACATGCTGATCCATTACATCTTGATTAGTGAAGATCTGCTAAGAAAGTCAAAGCCAGACACCATATAGACTTGCCAAGCTGGCAATGGAGTACCTCTTTGAACCAAGTCCTGAAGAATTTCTGCTTTTCTATATGCCACAAATTGTGCCTTTAGGTAGTGGGTGACTATGCTTTTGGTATGCTGGTTTCTGACCACGAGACATGCTCTTATTGAGCATCTGCCTTAGCTTATCCATTCCTTTCACTTTTCTAAGTTCTTGGAGACATTTTATCATTGGAACAGTTTATGGTTAAAAAACCCAATACATCATTGGTGGTTTAATTTTTCCCTTATAATATACAGTCTTTTTATGCTTTCTACTGTTGTGGAGGGGAGTTAGAATCAGCTGCTAGCTGTGCAAAACCCAGAATAGGTCAGTAGGTGGATTTATAAATATAGGTCTTGTTCTGTGTACCTAAAGTCATTCCTTGAAACAAATAATGTCAGGCCAGTAACCTTCACTGTAAATAATGTTTAATGTAATAGACACACAATACATTGAAGTATAAATTTTTATTCTGTGAATAATGTTGGAGCCAAAATATCTGTAAATTCTTGAACTAAATATGATTTTCAATACAAATATTCAGTTCATAGTCCAAAGTCATAAGGTCTGTTAAACAACTTACAAAGGAGCTTGCAGTTCACTGCCCATTTGTCCAACATTTCAAAAACATACAATTTAAAAAACAGTTCTGAGAAATGCAAACATAGGGAGAATTTCTTTTAGCAAGCATAGCTTTCAGATTCCAAAGTAATTGAGCTAAATTCTGCCCTATGTTCCCAGCTGCAGCTCCTTGATTTCAATGAGGTTGAATACATATATTTTAGAGCTGGTAACAACTTTGGTGCACAAAATTTTCCTGTTAAGAAATATGGTTTCATTAAAACTGAAATTTTTCATTGGAAACCATCAATTCTTTTTTAAGAACCAAGATGGGTGAGATAATATCTTTTACTGGACCAACTTCTGTTGGTAAGAGAGACAAGACCAACACGGCTACAACTACATTGCATACAATTCTGATTTAAAACATTGATTTTTTCCCATGGAAAGGCAAAACAGAAGGGTTTTTTTAGAATCAATGTTCTTAAATTAAACATTTTCATTTAGAATTAAAATGCCATTTTGTTTCTTTTCAGCTAAAAATACAAAACAATACAACATTTTGTGCCTAAATGACAATTGAAAATGATAGTTTTCATTTTGTTTTGTCTTCAAATGTTTGGGGGTTTAGTTTCTAAAAAACAAAACAAAAAAATGGACCACCTTTTAGTAAAAACCACAGGCACCAGCTTCCTCCGGGCCCCAGGAGTGCTCAAAACCCAGCTCTGCCCCAGGCCTGCCCCCCCGCCCACTTCTTCCCACCTCCACCCCGCCCTGTTTTCTGCTGTTCAAGATCTTGAGGGCTGTTGACTAAGTTTGTACTGTGAATCAATACGATACTTGTGATCCAATATGTGGCTGGTGTAAAGGGTTATTTGGCTGTGCTTTTCTATGGATTTTCTCCCTTTGTACTATGCCCTACTATAAACATGTCCTGGTTCACCATTGCACCTTTACTATTATTTCTGCTCTCCCTGGGTCAGCGCTGAAGTGTTTGTATTCCTTCGATCAGCTCTTACTGACTAGTTGCGCTTCCAAAGAGTTGGATGTACTCCAAAGCACTCTTCTGCCTGTGCGATACTGGGAGTATGTCTACACTGCAATAAAATACCTGCGTCTGGCCCATGTCAGCTGACTCGGACTTGCAGGGCTCAGACTGCAGGGCTACAAAACTTCAGTGTAGACATACAGGCTCCCAGAGGCAAATTTGTGTTGAATTCACCAAATTATTCCAGTCACACACAAAAAATCGGGGGGGGGGGGATTTTTTTTCTTTTTGATATCTTTGAAATTAAATGTTTCAGTTTTTCGATTCAAAACAAGTTTGCTTTGAAATTTAATTCAATTTCATTAAAAACAAACATTTTAGAAAGCTCAAATTAAAAACAAATTTTCTTTTAGGTAAAAAACATTTTGTTCAATCTGAACCAAAATTTTATTTTTTTAACTTCTCAATTCACCAAAAATTTTGGAAAATTTGTGTTAGGACAACCTGAAACCATTTTTTTTTAAATTTTCAGAATAGTGATGACAAAAAAAAAATCAGTTACTCACTCAGTTCTACTTCATGTGATTCTGGCAATGTAAATTCCACTTGTACCCAGGTTAGACTGACAAAGTAGCGCAAAGTGGTGTCCGTGCACGTGAGAAATGGATTTCCTTAATTTTTATTGATAGCTACTTTTGGTGCTTATATAAACATCCCTTTGGCCTTACACAGGCATAAGATGTACCAGTGAATTCTGTCCCTTCTTGGATATTACATGTCAGCGGAACAATGACATGCAGTTTGTACCTATCCATTTTTGAATGCAGCTGTTGACTTGAACACATTATGGGACAAATTCTACTATTAGCTACACCAATGCAAATACAGAGTAATTGACATTAGCCAGAGCCAAAGAAGTGCGGTTTCAACAATGGGACAGAGCAGAATTTGGCCCTTTCTATGCAATTTTGGATTATAAGGATAAATTATAACATCTTAGTAGGATTCCTGTAGTAAACTCTACTATCCTATGTGTTGCTATCAAGTTAAATGGTTTACACCAGGAGTGATGATTTCACCATTTAATGTGTCAGTTCAAATAGTATTTGCTTTTAGTGAGGAAAGTGTCAGAGTCACTGGTATAATACAATGAAGCCTTTACAACAGACCAATCCTTACAGTGCAAGGTCACGTCTTAAAGGGCCGCCTCAAAATAGTCATGATATACTAAGCAGAATTAATCTCCACTCATATAAGAAAAGCATCTCTGTAAAGCATCTGATTTTTGTCTGAACTTTGAGTGATTGCTTAAAGCAGCGATCACTGTACGTGTGCTAATATTTATAAAAGGCATGTTAACCCTTATCCAGGATAAATGCATGGTTGACCTAAGACATCACCAAGAAGATGTCAGCAAAGAAACTTCTGCGCTCCTACATATCTGGAAGTGAGCTGGACTTTGTCATACATAAGATAAAAGATGGAAGCATCTTTCATGAAAACTGGGAAGATGATGACAATTTAGCACTTTCACAGTGCCTTTCATTCAAATCTCAAAACACTAAACAAATATTAATGGATTAAGCCTCATAACCTTCTGTGAGGTAAATTCAGGAAGTAGGGTTTCTCTTTACTTTTTTTTTTTGGCAGAGATCCTAGCACCAGAGAGTTGCCTACCACAAATTATTCAGAGCAGTATTCGCAAACAACCACATAATGTCAAAAACACAAATCTTCCTGAGTTACCAGAGAGACGGAGAAGCAAAAAGACTCCCATGACATTGCTGACTGAAAAATTTCAAAGTTCAAACATTTTTTATGAAAAAAATTCCATTTTTCAATCAATTTTACCCTCTACGTAAACATCTACAAGTGGAATTTTCTTCTGCCAGCTTTGAGTGAATTTTAAAATCCCACCCTACATTTTAAAGAAAAATGACAAGCTAAGAAAAAAGAATAACTCAAGGTTCAGTCAGAGTTATAATCTGTTTACCTGTTTTTTAAAATATATGCACACATACTTTCAAACAAGTATTGGCTTGAATCACTAAAAATATGTCGGGCTTATGCACAACAGGAATTCATGTACAACTATGAAATGCAAATCCATTTTCCTTGTGTGACATGCTAAGTTATTTGTGGATATTTAACATTTTGTAAAGAATCAGGTATATTTTTATACATATTTTTACAAACTACCATTTTCTAGGATTTTTTAATTTCATGTAATTAAAATAGAAAAAAATTACCTGTAACTATATATCCTGTGAAGGACCACATTTTTAGACAGCCTATATCACCTCTCAAAAAATCTCAAAATTCAGCCTTGAAAATGAGGCTATTTTCTTGCGTACCTTCAGTATCTAATCCTGTGAAGATATTTCCACAGTTCTGTTTATAAAAAAAATAGGACCAGATCTTCAACATATCAGCAATCAGCATACCTGAATGGAGACTTGAGAATTTTGTGTCCAGATGGTACTGTTTCTATTGTATTCAAGTTTATTTTTGCATTTTTAAGAATCAATTTTTGTGACATGAGTGCATTAAGCTAATAAATCTTTTGGACAACTTAATAGTACTGTAATTACAAAGAAATAGTGATAAAATGTCAGAACATTTAAAATCAAGGGACGAAGTTCTCCCTAGTTATCATGATGCAATCTCATCACACCAGTGTAATCCAGAAGAAAATCTGACCCCAAATCTAAAATGACAACAGTTATAATAATAATTTTCTGATCTGTTGACATGTCCATACGTATTGAAGAAAAAACAGGGGGAGGGGGAAGGATTACTTGCTCAAACCATTGATATAAGATTGCTTTTTCTGTTTCTTTTCCTCTACATACCAGACTTTAATAGTTTTTAAATAAATTAATCATAACAATAATATTGTTAGAACTACATCATTCTGCGTGTGTTAGTTCGATTGCTTTTGGAGGCTATATTTAGTTATTTAGACAAAGCTCTCTTCCATATTTGTGCACAGCAAAAAGGAATCCACAAGTCTAGGCTTTACCAACTGCTGGAAATCTGAATCCTCAAGGCCATCGGGACTCATAACTGCTAGTCTTCGTAAGGCTGCCTGTCAGAAACAATGACAGTACAATTAAGGATTAGTAAATTCTTCACTTTGAGTCCATAACATACAGTGCCTACCGATAACGGTCAACATGTGAAACTGATCTCTGTGCACAGGGCCAACATAGGGACTATGTACTAGCCTCAATTGTCCATTCATCCAGTTAAATCTCCCTCTCAACTTGATTATGAAACTGTTCTTTTGAATGTATTATACTGAGTGCATGACCAGTTGTGTGACCTTTGGCAAGTCATTTCACTTTCTGTACCTTTGTTTCCCCTCCCTATTGACAGCCAGTACCCCACTGGGCATCAATCATTTTGTGAAATATATGTATAGATATTTAAGGAGTTGTGAGACTGTACTGAATATTATGGTCTTAAGGCTGATAACCAGGAGCTGACATGTCTCAGACTGGTTCGTTTCAAGCAGAAGGTAACAGACACTTCTCTCTCTGTTCATGTATATATTGGGCATTGTACGCAGGGGTGAAAGTAACTTAAAGGACTTACTGATGCACAGGTTGGCTGGGGTCCTGGGCAAGGTGGGGTGGGCGGCTCTGGGCCCCCAGAAGGGGCAGGGCCTCAGGCGGAAGGGGCGGGGCTGGGGCCAGACTCCCCCAGCCAGCCCTTCAGCGCTGTCTAGCCCGGGCCACCTGGGGCACCAGCAGTGATTTAAAGGGCCCGGGGCTCCAACTGCTGCTAGGAGCTCTGGGCCCTTTTAAATCGCCGGGCCCCGGGGCAGCTGCCCATTCCCTCCCACACACACACAAGTCAGCGGCCCTGCCGGTACATTGCTTTAATATCGGCTGTGTACCGGCGGCCACTTTCTTACCCATCTGCCACACTGGCCCATACCTCTGATTGTATGTCTCACACTGGATGCCTGTTTGCACAGTGAGCCAAATGCTCACCAAGAGATTGTGAAATCTTCAAGAGAGGAAACTTACAGGATGAAATAAATAGCATGAAGGGATCCTCTTTACGAGTAAATACAATAGACTGTTGTGGTATATCAGGATGTGCAGAAATACACCCTGGATCTTTCACTCAGGAGTAAGCTAATAGCATGTTTGTCTTATGAATGGAGGTCATGGCCAATTTGGCTGTAAGACACAAAGGACTTTGGGTGAGATTTCTCTACATGAGAAAAGAGCACCTACTTAATTAAGTCTAGGTTTAGAATGCATGTTATGGTTTTGTTTTATATGTAACTATTTGTTTCCAATACTTGTACTTGCTGTCACTTGAATCTCTATCCTTAGTTAATAAACTTCTACTTGTTTTCACTATAACCATAACTAAATGCTGTGTGTTAAGTGGAGTGGCGAGCTGAGGCAAACTGTGACTACTGTGAGTAACCAGTGGACCAGGGGCGGGGCACTCCAGAGAAACACTCAGCAGACTCAGGGGTCGGAGTGTGCCTATCATCAACAGGCAGAGTGGCCAGTGGAACTGGGGAGCTGACCCCCAGCAGGCATAGACAAGGCTTCCTCACACTAAAGCCAGATGATAGAAAGGTGCCTCAGAACCCTGGGTACCCCAGGGAGCGTGACAAAGCCTTATTGAAGAACCAGCCCTTGCATTTAGATGTGAACATGGTCTAGTTGGAACTCAGTCTGCTCTTGTCCTCTAAGGCATTCCATAGTCATGTTTATCTCACTGAAGGTGCTCTGCCCCCATGCACAAGAGTCTTATTCTGCACTTTGACAGTACACATTCTGTCTTCATAATTACTGAATAAGAGAGCTGACGGTATTGAACCCTGTGGCATTCAATATGGAAACACTCTTTGTGAGGAGAAGTATGTCTCTGTCAGGATTCATTCTGATCTATCTTAGAGGAATGAATGAAGCTAACATAGAGCTGGCTTTTCCTTCTCCTGACAGGTCCGGTAAGCAGCACTCTACAGAATCAATAGCAGTAAGGAGGTCCAGTAATATCTATTATACACAAAAACTATATTAAAGAAAAGTTAAAGTTGCCAAGTCAAGCACTCAAAAGGGGTCTTGTAGAAAAAAATAGTACATGATCATGTAATTAAAAACCATATTATAATGCCTGCACACCAGGGCGCTGTTTAAGATTGTACATGCAACTTTAAATTTTGGCATTTCCTAACTTTTAAGTACTTGACTTTGCAACCTTAAACGTTCTTTAAACATACTTTTTGTGTGTGATTTTCTGGGTTTTTAAAAAAGCAAACTGAAAATACAGAAATTCCATCATGTGGAATCATACTGGCCCCTAGAGACATCATCAGCAGAGTTCAATCCTTTAGATCCACCGCCCAGACTTCTGGCACTTGAGCTAATAAAGTAACTGATAGCAGTAGCAAGTTGTCATCCTTTACATATACAAGTGACTAGTGGAGGATGAGACACACTTTGCGGATTTCATGGATATCTGTCGACAGCAGAGGAAGGTTCAGACTCAGGAACCTTGGGTTCAATTCCTGGTGATGGAAAGGAATGTACTCTAGTTCATACAGAACCTTCTGCTCTCTTCCTCACAAGCCTGGTCCATTGTGTCCACATCCTCTCCAGCCTGCCCCTGTGCCAATCCTGTCTCTCCAACCCCTGGGACTCCTCATCCCACTTACAGTCTCTTTGCTCACTCAGTATCAATTTTCCACCCCTTCAGGCTCCTCCCAAATAGTTAAACTTTAGCTAAGTTATAAGCACCTGAAAACTGGTCTTACGATGGAAAGTGTCGAGCAACCTTGACTATAGGCTTTGCTACCAGCTCCACTTATGATGGAGGCTTGAACTCTTGCCAAAGGAAATCAGAGCCAGGAAAAAGCATTGTCTTTGCACCATGTCCTGTTCCAATGCCTGACTGTGAGTGATCTAGGAAACTGGAGGAGGTTAGAAGCCATTGGATGAGTTTTAAAATACAATTAGAATCAACCAACTCCCAGTGTGGAATTAAATAGGTCATGACTGTAACTTCACTGAGGATGAAGATGACATAAACCTGCTAGCCAAATCTTCCAGGTCCTCTCATTCCCAGGGACAGTAAGTCAGCCCATCGAGCTCCTCTGGCCAGAGCAGAGCTCCCTTCCTCACCCTTCTGGTCCCAGCCAGGAACTGACCTGAGCAAGCCCTACAGTTCCTTTTATTTGAGCCCGCTAGGCTCTGATTGACTGCTTCTGTGCAGCGTTTCTAGACAGCCCTAGAGGACCCACGTTCATTTTTCCTTTCCTGGGGTGGGCTGTGGACTGTGGGGCCTCAAGCAGGGGGCCTTGAAGGGACTGGTACACCCCATCACGGTGTGCGAATCTTGATTTTAATGGGAATTAAGGTACTCAGCACTGGGCCTAAGATGGGAAGGGGATGAGTCTGACATGTAATTAAGTAACACAAAAAGAAGAACAGGAGGACTTGTGGCACCTTAGAGACTAACAAATTTATTAGAGCATAAGCTTTCGTGGACTACAGCCCACTTCTTCGGATGCACACACACTGAAATCCCACTGAAATGAAGGGGATTTCTGCATTTTTCAGGAGAGATAAAGGATGGCTTAAGTGCACCTACCAGACAAGCCACTAGAACAGAATCACTGTTATTTCTTTCAGCGGGTGATCTGCAGAGTTCTATAAGGCGAGGAATACCTAAAAGTGTAAAAAAAAAAATGAAGATAAACAATGTTTGTTGTTATCGAAAACTCGCCATTTTGACACCAAAAATCAGCCTGGTGGATTCTTTAGTTTTATCTGTCTCATTTAATACAATTGTGAATGAATACAACTGCTGTACAAGAGGTGTAGAAGGAACTCTCCACACATGCATTAGAACAAGCTGTGCAATTTAAAATTGCCACAGTTAGATAACGGTAAAGCATAAAGAAATTCATTGTTTTTACCCTCTACTGCTCTTTTACAATGAATAGAGCTGACCTAAAAAAAATCCTTCCTATCCATCATCCCCCAACTCCCCAAAATAGACAATTTTTAAATTTGAAAAATCTGGTCCTTGCTGTCTCTCTTTGCTGGAGGATCTACTAGTCACATGTGTGTGAGGTTTTAAGTTGAGGAGAGAGTAGATGCTGCATCTTCAAGTGTCACAGCGTCAGCTAGTCACTGTAAAAGCTCTGTATCCCCTCCATCCCTAGCTATGTGTAGGAGGAAGCTGCACCTCATTTTCCACTGAAAAATTAGCCATAGATTCATTTAGCACATTCTTCGCATCTACGGTCAGGACAGACTGTGCAGGGAACCTTGTGGTCTGTAGAGAGCAACCATTAACAAGTGATATAAGAGAGCCTCTCTCCTTGCTAAACCAGCAAGAGCCTCTGCTGCCCTAGTCTCAGCAGGAAGTCATTCTCTCCATATTTTACAGTCTGCCACTAGGTTAGCATTAAATTCTTACAGCTGAGTTTTATGGCTGCATGTGCCACTTCAGGATCTCGGCTGAGCCGTGCCAGAGTAACTGCAGATTTCTGCTGAACTCGCTCACAAGCAGTGACTTCTGCTGAATTCCCAGAAGATGATCTTTCAAAGAGCATTTCCATTAAAAGCTGAACACCTACAAAGAAATGAAAGTTGCTGTTAGTATCTCTCCCAGAAAACAAAAACTTCTATACAAGAAAGTAGTTTAAAAGCGAAGCAAGCTGAATAATGACACACAACTGCAACAGATGATTTTGCTGTTCAGAATATAGGCACAATCTGTATCTGCGCAAAAACATATGTTGTCTACAGAAAGCTAGAAAACATATGAAACCAGCAAATACATGCACATTTCCCCCTCTTCTCTCCAGATTGTTCTAGTACAGATTGACGTGTGGATTTTAGACTGACCTATCACATCTGGCTCAAAATCCGTGGCAAGGCTTTTAGTTCTTAGTTACATTTAACTTCCAATTCAAGATAAACCTATATGCAGGGGCCTGAAGTAAATTAGAAGATCTTTCAGGTAACATGTATAACATGTAACATGTACTAACATGTATGTAACTTTCCTTTCCTGCTCATATGTTTTAAAACACCTTTTTAATCTTTCAATTTAATCAAGGCTAATAGACTGAATTCTCAATTCAAATACATTTGTATGTTTCCCATGGACTTCAATGACACAGACATGGATGTGAAGGAAGATATTCATCTCATGTTTTAGTTGTTGCATTCTCAGTAAAGTTTTATGCTTCAATTTATTCATCCAAAAAACTCCAAGATATGTGCCTTGGTTTCCAACTGTTATAACATGACATTATAACCCCACTCCTGCCTTAATTTCCTGCAACTGTAAAAAAAAATTAAAACAAAAAGTAAAAAAAAATTAAAATAGATATTAAATGTTAAATTCTGCCAGTGTAGTCATGGCACAGGCTGCTGTGAGGTGTCTGGTTCAGTATCTTTAGCTTGCTGAACTAATGTTATTGAGAGGACACTGAGGATACGGACTCGGGATTTCCAGTTTGCTGGCCTGATACCATGGGAAAGGATGCAGCGAGGTCACAGGCTCATCACCTCTAGCTTGGTGGTCTGATGGCAAACACAAACCTCTTACCAACATCTCATCCAATGTATTGTGCAGGGAGGAGATGCTCAGATTGGGAGGCAGCTCCTCTGTGCTCCCCTCTAAAGATTAGGGTCCTTTAAGGTGTTTCAAGTTGAGCACAGATTCACTAGTCACTTTTTGACTAGTTGGGGCACACATGTACATATGTATACATGCACACACACACGCACACAGGGCAAGGCTGTCACTTTAAGGCATTACCCAATTTTGCAGGCTTTGGGCTGCACAGTGTTCCCTGTTACACTACGATTGCTGCAAGTTCGTGCTATGTTCTGTTACTAGGGAGGCATGCACACAGCACCATGTCCAGGTAGCTCTGTTGGCTAGTGCAGAGGGAGCAGGTTCATAGCCTTATCCTTGCACAACCCCAATAGACATCTCATACCACCAGCCAAGCTAGACTCCTCTCTCCTGGTGCTTTGGGGGAGATGGATCCTTCACAGAAGTGCAAGGGAAAGGAAAATTATCTGTGTACTCTTCCTCTATGTACCTTGTATAATGTGTGTATTGATACTACACTGATGGCCACCCTGTAAATATCTGTAACAATAATACAATCAAAACAGCAATGAAGCAGCTACTGTACTCAATTAGATGTTTTGATGACCCATCAGCTCCCTGGACACATCCACACAGTAAGAGAAAAAAAGATTCCTTGCAGCCCCTAGACTTCTAATGAACTAGATTACAGGGGAGAACCCACTGGGGCACTAATAACATAGTTATCTATAACTAAAACATAAAATATCACACTGCCAAATATATCTAGAGCAAAACACCCTAAGTATAAGTCTTACAGGTATTATGATACCTTTTAAAACAGGACATAATGATTAAGAGATGAGAGCAACAGCCAGATTATTAAAATTATATCATCCACAAAACCTACCTTTTCAGTACAAAAACATCAGAGAGGGGAGGATAGATGGATGGATAGATAGACAGATACTATGCCAAAAACATTTTAAAAGGGGATATGAAGCTCTTTTTCCATTCCAATTAAATACCATTACAACTGAACTCCCATTAGTTTAATAGAGCAAGGATTTCACTCAGAATGTCAACAATCTGTACACTTCTGTCTATGTATTTATTGTTACCTATATATGTAATTTAATATTATGGTCATATTTTATTGTTATATTTTTGTTAGAACATTTACACAATTAACAAAAATATTAATTGCTTCCAATTAGCAAAAGAATCAGAGCTAGAAACCAAAGTTGAGGAGACCAACCAAGATCTTCCAATTCCAAAAACTCTTCTCTCATCAGTGTCTCTGGTTTCTAACCAACTGCTAATTGTTACCATATTACACAGACATAGGAAACTATTACGCACAAGTTGGCTCTCACCCCTTTTCACAAGCCTAGAGGCAGCTGCCTTGATCTGAGCTTCCAACAAGAGGGAAATATGCAGACTTTATTGTACCACAAACACACTTTGGTTAATTAAGTCTAAGTTTTACATGGACATGTGCCAGGACTAAAATGATCACTTACTTCCATCTTCTCACTGGCTAAGAGGGAGGGCTAGATGGCACCGTGTGCTAATACATTAACATTTTAACACTCTGCGTCTGGGTCCAAATAAAGTTTATTCATCACAAATGAAGTGAATATGTGTGGTCTCAACTTAGACTATAGTGGATGTTCATGCACATCCCCAAACTGCCGCACAATGTATTGAAACCTGCAGTGTCAATTCAGCAAGGACCTGATCCTGTAAGGTGCTAGGTGCCCTCCACTCCAACTGGGCTTGATTCTCCTTTCTCACTCATTTGGCATTGGTGTAACTCCATTGACTTCCATAAAGTTCCTCTTGATTTACACCAGTCTGAGTGAGAAGAGAATCAGACCAAATGTCTTCAGTGGCAGTGGAGAGTGCTCATCACTTCTCAGAGGACTCAGCACCTTGTAGGATTTGATCCTACGAGGAGCAGACTGGAATAGTGGGTGTATTATAGGTAAAGATGAAGCTGTAATAACAAACTGTTTAGAGGATGCCTAACTGAAAATACATGAACTTACACACAGCATGACCCTACACAGACTTTTGCCTAATATATAGTGTAATCCATATACAAGACAACCTTGTTGTAAGGCAGCTTTACTTCACACACTCTCTCTCTCTCTCTCACACACCTGACACAAACACACAAAAGTAAGGAAATGAAAACCTAAGCCTCCTATGTGTCCATGGACCCTATTGAATCCAGGTTAGTTTGTGCCAATCCTCCATCAGTCAGGTCTGTGTGCATAACACTTTCAGCTATAACATGAGAAACGACTAAAAATGACCCTAAATCTAATTATATTTAGCAAACAGACCACTGCATCATTTCTCCTCAGAATCCACTTCTAAAAAGTTTTGTGTAAACAAAAAATGATTTTAAGAGTATTGGTCAACACTGAAAATGTAGGTCTCCTAAAGAAATGTTTCAGCCACAACTCAAATTCCAACCCTCTCTATTAAAAATATATTATGCAAAACCAAACAAAACTTCATGGGACAGAAAAAGCTGTGTGGAACGTCACTGACTAGCCATCTACTTTTAGAGATCAAGAGGAATTTATGCCCCATTTTAAGATCATATAATCGTAATTATAGAGTTGCTACCAGGTGCCTCTCTAAAATCAGTTAGATCTCCTATTTCCTTATCCACAGGACTGTTCTCCTGCCCTTACAGTCTCCTATAATACCTTGTTGTTTTTTTAACCTTTCCTCGTCTGTCAGGTTTTCTAAACCATTTATCATACTTGTTGACTCTGCCCATTTGTCCACATCTTTCCTAAAGTGTAATTCCCAGAACTGGACACAGTACTCCTGCAGAGGCTTTAGCAGGACAATTACCTTCTGTATCTTAAATATGACAATACACCTCAGAATGATATTAGCCTTTTTTGCAACTGCAACATATTTTTGACTCATTCAATTTGTGATCCACTAATGCCCCCAGATCCTTTTCACAGTAATACTGCCTAGCCTATTCCCCCATCTTGTAATTGGGCATTTGATTTTTCCTTCTTAATGGAAGCACTTTGTTAAATTTCTTCTTGTTAAATTCAGACCAATTCTCCAATTTTGAATTCTAATCCTGTCTTCCAAAGTATTTGCAACCACTCCCAGCTTGGTGTCATCTACAATTTTTATAAGCATATTCTCCATTCCATTATCCAAGTCATTAATGAAAATATTGACTAGTACTGGATCCAAGACTGATCCCTGTTGCACCCCAATAGATATCCCTCCCAGTTTGACAGCAAACCATTAACTACTTTTTGAGTAGTCTTTCCACCAGTTGTGCATCCATCTTATAGTAATTCCTCTAGACCACATTTCCTTAGTTTGCTTATGAGAGAATGTCATGTGGGACTGTCAAAAGCCTTACTAAAAATCAAGAACAGGAGAGATATCAAGTCTACTGCTTCCACCCTATCTCTAGGCCAGTAAACCTGTCATAGAAGGAAATTAAGTTGGTGTGGAATGATTTGTCCTTGACAAATCTATACTGGCTATTTCTTATAATGCTATAATCCTCTAAGTGCATACAACTTGATTGTTTAATAAGTTGTTCTAGTATCTTTCCAAATATCAAAGTTAGGCAGACTGGTCTAATTCCCTGGGTCCTCTTTGTTCCACTTTTTAAAGGCAAGCCCTATTTTTGCCTTTCTCCAGTCCTCTGGGACCTCACCCATCCTCCAGGAGTTCTCCACAAAAAACAAAACAAACAAACAAAAAACTAATGATCCTGAGACTGCTTCAGCTAGTTCTTTAAGTATCCTAACTACTTCATTTCATCAGGGCCTGCTGACTTGAATGTATCCAACTTATATAAATAGTCTTTAACCTGTTCTTTCCTCATTTTGGCTTACGTTCCTTCCCCATTTTTCTTAACGTTAATTGCACTGGAGTATCTAGTCACAATTAACCTTTTTAGTGGAGACTGAAGCAAAACAGGCATTAAACCCCTAAGTCTTTTTGATATCACTTAGTAACTTTCCTTCCCCACTAAGTATACCTACCATTATCCCTTACATTTTCTTCCCATGGAACCTTGCCTACCAGTTCTCTGAGTTTGTTAGTCTGCTTTTTTTTAAATCCATTGTCCTTATTCCGCTGCGCTTTCTTTAGAATAATGAAATCTATCATTTCATGATGACTTTCACCCAAACTGCCTTCCACCTTCAGATTTGCAATCAATTCCTCCCTGTTGGTCAGAATCAAATCTAAAATGTACACTTCCCAAATAATGAAGTTTTGCCAAAAATATCATTAAAGGGCTATGGGAAAGAATTGCTTCTGCTGTTTGTACATTTTGGAGCAGTAATGTCTTATTATAGCATTATACAGTTTGAATGAAACAATGCAGGATGCTAATGTACAAATTACATAGATGATGTAATCTGATTTATGAGAATCACAGGTCTTCTCAAACATCTTAAGTCTTAATTTACGGAAACAAATGTTACTATCAAAATGCTTCAGATTGCCTCAACATACATCTGTGAGTAATGACATGAACTATAAATATTAAATCAGCAGGATGGCTATGTATCTGAAGTCTTCTAAATCATGTTGTAGAATGACAGCGTGTTTCAATTATAAGGCCATTCTGAGACCTCACTTTGTATCCCCCATCAACCTGTATTGGCCAGCAGATGCAGATTCCACAAAGAATTATAGCAAACAACAGGCTTCATTTGCATTGGATTGCATCCGTAGATCATGTTGCCCTGTGATTAACACAGGTCACCTCTCAAGCTCTCTCCTTTTCTCACATGCATTCCATACATACAGATACAGCATTAACTCAGCTCAAATACATACCATTTCCTTGAATTATTTCTGAAGCACACTGGTCCAGCACAGACATGTTTGCTAATATTGTCACAACCTGCATTAATGAAAGAGTAGAACATAAAATATAATGTTACAATTCAGAAATGATAAATATACTCACTATTAAATATACTAAATAAGATAGTATAACCAGAACAATAAAAAACTATCCTTGTGTGCTAACATTTTATTATCACTTCTCCATACTCTGAGGTTGCTTCAACTTACACTCAGTTGTTAATAACATTCAAGAGTTGCTGGAGTGTAGTGGACTCCAATTATGTCTCCTTTCCCCCAGCCATGCCACCAACATGTACTGGGGGTTGCCAGATGGAGGTTGTGGATCCATTACTCCTACAGCAGAGGATTTCCTTGGTGGTAAGATTTGCATGCTTTATGGAAGTCCCTTTATGCTCCTAAATCCTCATAAAGGGGCTGAAGGGCTACAAACAATTGAGCCTCTCGCAGTCTTCATTTAGGTACAAATCCTGAATTCCATACTCAAATTCAGACACAACTCCCATTGAGTAAGTACTGAGAACTTCAGTGTATATCCAAGCAATACTACTACTTAGAAATTAGTTTTAATCTTCAAAGCAATGATAGAAACACTGATTAATCCTCAGAACCCCCTTGGGAGGTTGGTATTTTGGGCCCTGATTCTGGAAAGCATACCTATTCAAGGACAACACATAAGTAGGATTTAGCACACACTCAAGTGTTGTCCTGAACAGAGATGGACTTAAACACATGCTTAAATGTTTTCCTGAATTGGTAGCAAACTGTTGAATGTTGACTGTTTACAGGGACAACAGACTTCTAATATCTGAACTGCCCTGGAGAGGGCTGTACAGTGCAGATACATGTTTGGGGGAAATTTGAGAACTGGGAGTGCATTGGGTCACCCTGCAAGTAGCAACCAAAGCTGGTGGAAGCCAGAGTGTGACTGGACTGTTGCTGACAGACTGCTGGGGTCAGAACTACTGGACCAAGGCTGTAGCTATACACAGACACTCGTATGTGACCTGCATCCTGTTTGTGAGAGGCCCAGGTTGGGAGCTACAACAGCAAACATTGTGAAGCACCCATGCTTTCAGGGCAGGTGCTGACAACCCATACTGGTATGGATTGCACCCTGGAATGTGACAGAAATTAGGGACCTGATTGGAAGAACTGCTGAGCAATCACAATAGGAGTTGTGGTCTTCAGTGCTTCTCAAAATCAGATCCAAAGCAATTTGTCTTTGGCCATACAATAACTCATCGATAGAGATTGGATTAGAACTCAGAAACAGCTACCTCCTAATCCCAGACTCCTAGCTCCTAATCCACTATACTATACTGGTTTTGTTGATGCAGTGCTTCAGGGTCACATGCAAAGATATTGTTATTTAACATTCACATAACTCCCTGCATATCTTGCTGCATGCAAAGAACCATACATGTTGTTGACATTACTGTGTAAAGGGATTGTGAATAACCGTTATTATATGTAAATTCCAAAACAAAACAAATAAATAATTGCATTAAAAGGATTTTTTTCGTCTTTTTTTCCTTATTCTAGCTTGATGCTGTTGATCTGCTTGAGGAATAATGGAGGGAAGGAGGATACATTTGGCTAACAGCTTTTGGTTGTAGGATTTGTGTTCGCAAACAAACAAACTTCCTTGACAGGTGTAAGCAAGCATGAGAACAAATTACCATTAATGTTGATCTCAACTCTGCCATTATAGTAACAAAGGTGACTAATTTTTGGTGCTCTGACAGAAAGGTCTTCCACTTTCCAAGGCAGTGTTACAGTGTCATCTCTCTGAATAAATTCACTTACTTAGAATGCAAATGAACTGCTGAATCTCTAAAGAGTGACAGGTAGAAAAATGGAAACTCAATATATGTCTAGGTATTTATTCCATGTTAATTATTAACAGAGTTTCAAGCAGCGTGTATATATTTTTTCATTCTAAATTATATCCTGTTAATGAAAATTACTTCCTCTATGCAGAGTCAGTACCCCATGTGGCTCTCTAAGTGATAGAGGAATTCAATTAACCACAATTTGAATACACGCCAATTATTTCACGTCTTCAAGTTATTTTATCTAATAAGTATTTTTATATGTAAAAATGTGTTGTGTATCTTTCTATACAAGAAATTATTTGAGTGAGGGGTGTATTTGGGCTCAATCAAGACAGCGCTGCTTTCATTGATTATACAGTACTGCATATTTTCGTGAGATATTTATGCACTGGACAAAATGGGTTAAATTACTCCTGTGTAGAGGGACAGAGGGTCCTGTGGCACCTTTAAGACTAACAGAAGTATTGGAGCATAAGCTTTCGTGGGTGAATGCCCACTTCATCAGACGTC